CAGGGAGAATGGAACCTGAACACTCTTTCAGATGTAGATGTAATAGTAGTAAGTGCATAAGCATATAAAAAGAGAATATAAAAACTTTACAGACTTTTATAGAGAACCAGCTCATACGGCCACTTCAGACAACATGGGCAACAGTCTGTTAATAGTAATTCTGTGCTCCCAAAGCCAGCTTTGTGACTAGTAAGCTACTCTATGTTCCTAACAAAGTTCCTCCTCCTTTTGCCTAATCAGCCTTTTTTCCCCACTTCTTTCTCTCAAAATTCATGCCCTTAAACCCAAGCACACACTTCTCTCTCTCCTTTAACAATATCCTCAACCTCAGCTACAAAGCTGCAATCTTTCATGGGGTTTGTTTTGTTTTGAAATAGAACTTAGGCCCTTTGTAGGGAACAAACCTCACTTGTTAATTTTTTTATGTCACTGACCAAACCATAGTCAAACTGGGCCCTCTATTGGTAGGAGAGAATAAAATGTCTAATGTTATGTCACTTTCCTATTAATTCACTCTCTTCATTTCAGACAACAATATGTCTAAAATAGACAGGAAATAAAAGGAAACAAGATCTTTATGTCTTAAGTAGAGACAAAAGGTTGGTTTACATGGTCTTACATGATTTCCTTAAATATTCACTGTTTGATCTGTTTAACTTACTTAAACTGAAGAACTGTTTCCAGGGGACTTCCAGTTTGTTTGAATGAAATGCTCACATAAGTAAACTAAGCCTATGCAGGCTACAAGAATACCTGTAATAAAAACCACAAGCACTTCAAATGGTAAAACACCCTCCTTTCCAGGATGCAAGAGGCTCTGGGGAGAAAGGGCCTTTTCCAGTGTGAGTCAAGTTATTGCCCTAATTAAAGTAACATGAAGAAAATTCCAATTTTCAGAGAGATTTGAGAGAGGAATGCTGAGGCAGAAAATTCAGTAGTTTCAAGTTCAAAGCCAGCCAACTCTGTATGAATTAGAAGGCATCAGCTCCAGATTTTTTTCCATTTTTTTCCAGAAGGCAGCCTTCTGAGTACTGTTTGGTTTTTTTCTTAAGTATTTGCTGTTTGATCTTATTATCTAAGTATGTCTTGCTTTTCAAATACCAGAGCCAGAAAATGAGCCTATGACAATACATGAGAAGTACTCAAGGTGACATCAGATAAGCAGAGGTCCTGCCTAAATACTGTGATGCAGTGCCCTGACCAATAACAAGCAACAGTTTATCAGTTTGAACACACATGGTATGACTATGCACCAAGTTTTGAGATGAATACACAGCCTTACACAAGCCAGTATAGCATTCAACAGAAAAAAGCAACTGGCTATTCAATATTCCACAGGCAACCATGAAATCTGATTTTGTAACTCCTTTATATCAACAGAGTGGGGCATTTCACTGTATAGATGTGTTCATTTCATGGTTCGTTAATATACTTGATATTTCATAAGGTACAGACACTAATTTAAAATATATTTCTCCATATCTTTCAAAACTGACTTAAAACTTTAAATTACTAATAAATCTGAATTTAAAGTTAATTTAAATTTCTTTAAAAAACACTTTTTTCCCATGGCAATAATGAAGTATTACTTCAAAATTATGTAGTTTCTTATTACAAAAATAATAATCAATACATAAATTACATATTTGAAAACTATTTTCAACAATCTGTAAGCTGCAACAAAACTTGAAGATGTTTCCCTTGTTAGTCACTGCAACGTAATTTTCTCAAGAGAACTGGAAGTACCAAACCCCTCCGACCATCCAGACTCGCATCCTTCTTTACTGCATGACTTCCCCATCAGTCCTCCTTTCCTTCCTCCCTACATTTCTTTGTTTTATTAAGTAAATTCGACAGTTTTCTCGATAACATTTTAAAAGAAATAGAGGATCAGGATATGTGTCATTTTGCAAAGAGCTCAGTATTTGCTTTTACTCTCTGGCATTTATTTCCCATGCAGGATGCGCAAGCTCCAGAAATGAAGCATGATTAGAAATGTCAACCAAAATATCAGATTGCCCAGCTGTTGACATCTGAAGTATTTACCCACCTGCTTGCTCCAAAGCAACCATTGTTGCCTGCTCAATTAAGTCACGTTCAATGAAGCTTCTGAAATCTTCACTGTACACACTAAGGTCTGGTAGTTGGAATGTGTAGATGGGCATCTCCAAAGGAAACTGTTCATTGCTGCACTCATTTGCGACATGTGATCGAGCAAGGGAGACTATGGCTGAGCTGGCGTGAGAAATACCTCTGGAAAGACGCTTTTCTGTAGAGAAACCAAAGAGATCTTATAGCCTATAAGAATACATAAAAGACCAGTCAACACCAAGTCTGGTGAATACCCATTCATTTCACTTGGGAATTAATTCCACTTCTTGTTTATTACCTTTTTGGGGTTATTTCCCTACTGTAAAAGATTCCTTAGTTCTTACTATGGATCCCTATGGCAAGTCATAGGCACCTCACCCTCCTAGCAAAATAGATAAACGTAAAAGTAACGAGACAAGTACTTCTATAAACGTTTTTTAATATAACTAAGTTTCCAAAGACGCACTGGAAGAAACATTTACTGGCAGACAGCTGATAACCAATTAATGTTTTGAACTCTTAATTCAAGTTAACTTCTTGTAAATCAAAAAATCCAGCATTCTACAATCACTCCATGTCCCACATGCCACACTGTTTTAATCTCAGAACAATGTACCTGAAAGCAATTTTAACATCATTATGCTGAATTTAAGAAAAACTCAGTTTTTACACATACGTGTTTTCTACAATCCTGATCCAAGAAACAACATGGAGTTCAGAAAGTACGACGAAGTTAACAAGCCTGGTACAAAAGAATGCATTATTTTATCAATACAGCTGTGAGCTAATATCTTATAATTTATTGAATTTCTCTATGGACAAATGCTATATAAGGAACAGTAAAGGGTCATTAAAGTAAAATAAGCATTAGAATGTTAAGAAAGGGACAAAATATTACTGCCGTATCATTTCACTTTATGGCCTCATTTCTGGTATCAGCAAATGGGTAACAGAAATACTCTTCAAGCGCTTAAACCGTGAATTGTTCAGCCAAAACTGATATATTTTCCCTCTGTTTAGTTTCTGCCCTGTATTCCTGTTCATATTTTTATATCTGAAATCAATGTTTTGCAGCTGCTTAAAATTTATGTTCATCAAAGTTACTAGTCTTCTCTCAGAAGCTTAACATTCAGCATAAAGTTTTGTTCTGCCTCAGAGAAGTGGCACTCCTTAGAACCACAGTACCACTGCCTTTCTGTGCTCCAAACTGACTGACCTCAGGTCTTCTATAGAGTTGCGCTCTCTCTAGCCATCCTTCGCATTGGGGACTATCTTAAATCAATACTAGAAATCTCCTGGGCATTTTACTGAGTTTTATTAGTGAGTTGACAACCAGGTTTATGGAGTTTCTTACATTTTTGAATATGCAGAAAGCTTCCTAGTGGGATTTACATAATGTTAAGCTAGATAATATTTTCGCTGATTTTCCTTGGAAATGGGTACCCTATTGTACTGGAAGCTTTTGTAAAACTATTTGATACAACTTCACCTCTGTAGTTTCACAAATACCACCATAAACAAGCATTTAGAGATCAACTCTCAATATATTAAAATAAAAGAAGTTCCTATACTTCTGTGCCCTCAGAAATTAACAAAGAAGCTTACTTAAATGCAGCTCATCACTTCAGCTAATAGAGTTTTTAAAACATCTCAAACTGAGTAATGGTTATTAAAAAATTAATATGAACTTTTGTTTCTCCGATGGACCAAAGTTTTTGTCATTTTAAGAGCTAAATTGCACTCCCTAAAGGGGGGTGGGGGAAAGAAGGTTTGACTACATTTGCATTTATTTCTTCTCCCTGTACTTCTCAGCTAAATCACTTTTAAGCAAGGGAACTGAAGTAAAGCATATCATCTCTGTTTGACATCCCCTTGCTACCACTCCATCACCCCTTCCTACCACAGCCCAGTCCTTGCCTGTTGGCTGCACCCTGCACTCCAAGTACTTGGTCCAGAACAAGACCCTCCTTTCCCTTCTCGGCTCCTCCCTGAACATCCTCCTCAATCCACTATCATGTTTCAGTCAGAGATAGCTCCCTGATCATAAAGAAGTCAGTTACACATTGAATTGGTAGCAAAGTTACTGTCAGTCCAGGCATTTAAAGCCAGACTTACCCCACACTGTACCTATTACACCCACTAAAAAATCAAATAGCCGTTTCAGTGTAAACTGGGCAGTTTAATAACATGGAATTTTAGAGTGAGCTATATCTTAATGAGGATGAAGGGACATCATTTTATCAACTAAAGTGTGCTACTCTTCCTCCCTTTATTTGTATTCAGTGTTTTTAAGGAGTCATTAGAAGCACTACAGTTCTTATTCCATCAGTGGAAGTTACCAATTTTAAAAAGCTTCACTGACACTCCTAAATACTGACACCATTTCCTGTTTAATAGGAAGGGAAGACTCCCTGTTCCTTCTAATGATTGCACAGACAGTCATCACCAAGCTAGTGCTATTACCTCCCTACATGACAAGCTGTCAGACCTGAAGATTTATTTTGGTGCAAGCTACAGTTCCTTGATAAATTAGTATATTTTAAAAAATACATTCCAACAGTCAGAAAGAGCTAGAGATCTGCAATAAAACCTGTAAAAGCTGTGCAAACAAAAAAGTAAATTTTAATGCTTATCATGCTGTACTGGAAATCAACTGGTAGTGGTAGTTGACTCATTTTTCTTAAGGTTTCAGTTTCTATTTGAAGGGAGATAGGAAGCTGTCCTTTCTTCCGTGGAACCACAAAAGAACAAAATTTTAAAACACATACTGTGACTAAGAATGCAAAGATTGAAATAAACTTTTTTTGGTCTCAAAAAGCATACAAACTGTACAATAGTGGTCTGTGACACTGTCTAATTAATTCCTTCTGTATGTACCACAGGACTGCTTGGGGACAACGTATTTTTGTACTTTAATCACACATTAAAAAAACAACTGAGGCAAAGCTCATGACAACTGAAACTTGTGAAACGTAGGGTCCAGCAGCAGCTCTGTGAATCCCATCACAGTGATACAGTTCACAGGCTGATGGCACACGACTTCCAACTCCCTCCAGACAAGCACAACTCGCAAGCAGACAAGCTGCTTGCCCACAAAAGCCCTGGAGAAAGCTCTTACCTTGAGCAATGTCATCCTGCCTTTGCAAGCAGGGCTGCTCAGCCTTCATCACCTGGGGAGGCTGCTCTGGCTCCTGCTGCTTGTAGTATTTGCCCTCATTGAACACCTGTGGCAGGTTGGCGGTGTGTACCTGCCGGAGCTGCTCATAGTCATTCAAAGCTGCTGTCAAGTCCCAATTTTTGCCTGCCAAACAGCAAAAGGACATTCTGCTCACATCTGTATGTGACCAGATTGACAACCTGGAAACCATCTTCATATACACTTAAAATATAAACTTAAATAGAGAAATCACTCTTACTTAAAGCATCAGTAAGGAAACAGAAGTCCTTTGGATAAGCCATTTTACCACCACTTCCTCCCTCAACAAAAAAGCACAGTTTATAAAAACCTTTAAAGTACACAGTAAATGGACAAAGATTTTTTTTTAATTTATGTTTTAGTTTTCTTTATATCGCAATTGGAGAAGACCTCAGGAAAGCTCTTGTTCAACCTCCTGCTCAGAGCAGGGTCAGCTATCAGATCAGACAAGATTGCTCAGGGCTTTAATTCAGTTTGGTCTTTAAAACATCAAGGATGGAGACTGTACAACCTCTCTGGGCAAACTGGTCCCACATTTGATTGTCTTCATGAGACCTATGTCCACTCAGAACCTCTCTTGCTCAAGTTATACCCATTGCCTCTTGCCCTCCTGCCATGCACCACTGAAGAGCCTGGCTCCGACTCCTTGATAACCTTCTTACTGGCACTGGAAGGCTGCTGTTGGATCCCCCCAAAGCCTCCCCATTTCCAGTCTGAACAAACACCTCTCCCTCAGACTCTCCTCACAGGACTTGTGCTCCAGCCCCCAACAACCTTTGTAGCCTTCCCCTGAACTCAATGCAATTTATAGCTGTCTTCCTTGGACTGGGGGTGGGGAGCAAAATTAGATACGGTATTATAGATGTCTAATGAATGACGAGTAGAGAGGTATAAATCACTTCCCTCAGCCTATGGTCCTGTTGATGTAACTCAGCATATGGCTGGCTTTCCTAGATGTCAGGGCACATGGCTGGTTCATGTGCAGCTTGCTGGCTATCAAGATCTCCAAGTCTTTTTCTGCCAAACTGCGCCCCAGCCTGTATCATTGCAGGGGGTTCTTTCCAGGTGCAGTGCAATGCTCTTCATTCTTGTTAAACTTTATCAGGTTCCTGTTGGTCATTATCCTTGTTCTGTCTAGGTTCCCTGAATGGCAGCTTTGCCCTTGAAGACATCAACCAGTCCCCCCAGGTGGTGTCATCCGCAAACTTGATGTGGCCTCACTGGTAAAGACTTTAAACAGGTATAGACCCCTGAGGTACAGGCACTTGTTACCAGCTTCCAGCTAGAAAGGCTGCCCATTAACCACTACCCTCTGAGCTTGACCATCAAAACAGGTATTTGCCCATCTAGTTGTCCACCCACCCAGACTGCAACATCCTAACTTGAATATAGCAATACTGTGGGAAACAGTGTCACAAGGCTTGCTAACCTTCAGGTAAAAGTTATCTGCTGCTTTCCTCTCTGCTGCAAATCCAGACATGGCCAGGACTTCCCTTGCTTGGGCTCTGATCAAATGGCTCCAGATACTGGCAATTTAAGATGAACACTACATCCCACAGGTTTAGATTATAAAATAGTGAGTAGTAATTCACATCTGTACAGTTGTATTAATAATAAATAATTAGCAGCAGTGATGGAAAGACATGACTGTTAGTGTTATAGCACAATTGTGTGAGAAACTTTTCTATCTTTCTATTCACAGAGCAGCTAGAATGCAAATACAAAATACTTTAGGTCCTTTTATCTTATACATCAGAGAGAACTTGTGCTCTCAGAGATTTTAAAAGTCTTTCAGAAAGCAGATAGTATATGACAGTGTTTTGTAACAAAGCGTGCAGTGAGAGGATTCAGTCAGTGTGGTTCCATGGAAACTGCCAACACAGAATCCTCGAAAAGATTTGCTTCCAAGCTCCCACATCATATTGCTATGACCAGTGATAACAGAACACAGGCTAATATCCGTAGATAAAGAAGCCTGTTCAGTTGTGGTGGGTTGACCCTGGTTGGACACGAGGTGCCCACCAAGCCGCTCTATCACTCCTCTCCTCAGCTGGACAGGGGAGAGAAAATACAACAAAAGGCTCATGGGTTGAGATAAGGACAGGGAGATCATTCACCAATTACTGTCACAGGCAAAACAGACTTGACTTGGGGAAATTAATTTATTACCATTCAAATCATAATAGGACAATGAGAAATAAAACCAAATCATAAAACACCTTCCCCCTGCTTCTCCCTTCTTCCTGGGCTCAACTTCACTCCTGATTTCTCTCCCTCCTCCCCTCCAGCCACGCAGGGGGATGGGGAACGGGGGTTGTGGCCAGTTCATCACACGTTGTCTCTTCCGCTCCTTCCTCCTCAGGGGGAGGACTCCTCACACTCTGCCACTGCTCCAGCATGGGGTCCCTCCCACAGGAGATAGTTCTCCAGGAACTTCTCCAACCTGAGTCCTTCCCACAGGCTGCAGTTCTTCACGAACTGCTCCAGCCTGGGTCCCCCCACGGGGTCACAAGTCCTGACAGCAAACCTGCTCCAGCCTGGGCTCGTCTCTTCACGGGGACACAGGTTCTGCCAGGAACCTGCTCCAGTGTGGGCTTCCCACAGGGTCACAGCCTCCTTCAGGTGCATCCACCTGCGCCAGCATGGGGTCCTCCATGGGCTGCAGGGGCAGAGCCAGCCTCACCATGGTCTTCACCAGGGGCTGCCGGGGAACCTCTGCTCTGGTGCCTGGAACATCTCCTCCCCTCCTTCACTGACCTTAGTGCCTGCAGAGTTGTTTTTCTCATATATTCTCACTCCTCTCTCCGGCTGCAGTTGTTGCATTTTTTTCCCCTTAACTCTGTTACTCCAGAGGCGCTGTCACCGTTGCTGCTGGGCTCAGCCTTGGCCAGCGGCAGGCCCATCTTGGAGCCAGCTGGCACTGGCTCTGCCAGACACAGGGGAAGCTTCTAGCAGCTTCTCACAGAAGCCACCCCTGCAGCCCACCCCACAACCAAAACCTTCCCATGTAAAACCAGTACACTAGTACAGATGTTGAAATCATACTTGTCACTCTCAAAAAATAATAATGGAAAAATTGTTGACATGTTTGTACACTATTTTCATAACAGTCCTGCTAAGTTAAAATACATAGATGTCCTACCATTCTCCAAGTACTTGTTTTTAGTTGTAAAATTATCAATGTTTAATAGCAACAAAACAGACCCCACTTATATAATTATATAAGACTTTCACAGCATTTCATGAACACTTTTTTTGGGAGTTCAAAAGTAACCTGATTCTGACTAATACTGGATTCATTACACCATAAAAAATTGCCACTTTAGGTACTTTGAGAAGCTACATTACCAGAGATGCAGTTAAATATAACTTATTTGCTTACACAAAGGAGAAGAAGCTAAAAATAGTATAAAGCAGTTTTAAACAGATAAAAGAAAGTCTATTACTGTTACAGTCATTTCTGTGAAGAACAAAAACCTAATTGAAGGAGTAATAAAACAGCAGAAACAGCTGTTACCTACAGGGTTCAGCTAAACTATCTCAGGTTTTGAAGTACTAAACAAAATTGAGAAAGGAGAATTCATATCACTGAACAAGAATGTTATATATATCCCAAGTAGTCCGTAATATAAACCACCATGTCAGTGATATGCAATGGTTATATAAGTGATGCTGTAATTTTCTATTAAAAAGCCTGTTGGACAAAACGTATATTCAGTGAAAATTGTCAGAGATCCTAGAACAAGAACTTGAGTTATTACCATAATTTTTTCCCTAAAAATCCCATATAGGTTCAACAGCTATAATCCAGTCAGGGCTCTGCTCTAACTATATATATCATCTGAATCAAGTTGTCCAACGCAAACACCAACGAATCATGAGTGTGTTCCCAAGATTGATGTGATCACATATCAATGTTTGGAGTAGGGATTGGTTTTCTTTGGTCTTGTTTTTAGGAGGAACTTACAATATGTTTTTTAAATCATCTGCTCGATCATGAGAATGATAAAGTAAAAGGTTTTTTAGAAAGTAAAAGTGACAATAAATATAATTCTAGGAAATATAGGTTTAAACAAGAGAGTATAATTCAAGTATTGGCAATGGTACAAGTGCAGTGCTTATAGCACCCAGCAGCAACCTGGGTTTATTCAGTACAGATTCTTGAGTAACGGACCTATATTAATGGAACACAGAGCATTTTTCTAGTGTCAGGGCATTCCTTACAGGTCACCTGCTCAAGATATTTTCATACTTAAGTTCTGCAATCTGACAAAAATCACTGCACATGTGCTGCAAATGACTGCTGTGTGATGGGGCTTTGATGTATGTAATAGGAAAACAGAGTATCAGTAGACTAAAAGAAATCCCGCTGTCCTAAGTTTTAGACCACATGCAATCATCCATGGTACAATGTAGCAACTGAACTTCTAATACCAACTTGAAACTATACATAAAATAAAATTTCTATATCTAAATATATCTTACATAAAAATACTTTCTCTTCAAATCTCTCGATTTCCCTGGAGTTGTCCCCATCTCCTGAACAAAAGCACCAATCAGCACCAAAGCCCTAAACCTCACAGAACCAACATAGGAAATTTTATTGGCCTCACTTTCCCCAAATTTGCCACAGCCTCCCAGCATTGGAATGCAAGAAAAAAATTCAACCAAACTGGAGAACTTATTAACACTTCCATCTCCATGAAATAGGTTTTTTTAATATTATCCACCCTAACTAACCAGTTGTCCTGGTTTGAGCTGGGACAGAGTTAATTCTCTTCATAGAAGCTAGTATGAGGCTATGTTTTGGATTTGTGAGGAAAAAGATGTTGGTAACACACTGATGATTTCAGTTGCTGCTAAGCAGTGAAGGACTGTTCAACTTCTCGTGCTGGCCTGCCAGCGGGGGTGCACGGGAAGCTGGGAGGGGGCACAGCCAGGACAGCTGACCCCAACCGGCCAAAGGGTATTCCGTACCATATGACATCATGCTTGGTAGATAAAGCTGGGGTGAAGAAGAAAGAAGGGGTGAGTGGACGTTCAGAGTTATGGCATTTGTCTTCCCAGGTAGCCGTTACGTGTGATGCAGCCCTGCTTCCCTGGAGATGGCTGAACAGCTGCCTGCCCATGGGAAGTCAAGGGGTGAGTTTGAGGGTGGTCAAGCATGGGAACAGGCTGCCCAGGGAGGTGGTGGGGTCACCATCTCTGGAAGTGTTCAAAAAACGTGTGGATGTGGTGCTTCAGGACATGGTTTAGGGGACATGGTAGCGTTGGGTTGATGGTTGGACTTGATGATCTTGAAGGTCTTTTCCAACCTTAGTGATTCTGTGATTCTGTGAAGTGGTGAATGAATTCCTTGTTTTGCTTTGCTTGTGTGCACGGCTTTTGCTTTCCCTATGAAACTGTCTTTATCTCAACCCATGATTTTTCTCTTTTTTACTCTTCTGATTCACTCCCCCATGCCACTGGGGACGGAGTGAGCGGGCAGCTGCGTGGTGCTTTGTTGCTGGCCAGGGTTAAACCGCAACACTAGTGTAAGCATTTTCAGCTACTCTCTAGAGTACTGGAAACATGTAAGCTTGCCCCCTTTGCCAAGGCTTCCTCTCCTTTTGGTTTATATTTTCACAAGTAAATACAGATGACAGACCTTTAATTTTTCCCATTGCCCATGAAAAAAGAGAATTCATCAGTTTGGGAGAATTAAAGAAGAAAATTTGTAAGTCAGAGTAGAGGACACTGGAGGCAGCAAAAAGAATTAGGGGAAAGGAAGAGAGGAAAAAAGAACAGAGGCATTTATAAAAAGATACTATGTAAAGAAATACAAATAAGTACAAAAATATAATGTAGTGTAAAATTAAAAAAAGTAAACATATCTAAAAAAATTGTGATGTGATTTGGACCACAGAAATGGACTGCAGAAGCAATGGACAAGCTGGGAAAGAAACAGAAAGGTTATTAAATTCAGAGATGTCCAGAACAGATTATCTCAGCAAGGAATTCTAGCATTGTGACATAGCAAGTGAGAAAGTTTCAGCTGGAAATTACTCAAGAAACTAGTGGGGCTTATGATTGTGGGGATGAATAGAACTAACTCTATCTAGCTCTCCTCCTTTAAACTTTGAATACCGAAAGCTTTTGAATTTCTAAAGCTGTATCTTATTACATTCCAAACTAAGTTTTGAAAGAAGAAAAAAACCTGTGGTCTGCTGGGTCAGAAAGGACAAAAATAAATTCATATAACATTGAAATCAAACATAAACCCCGCAGTGCCTTATGGGGTAGGTCCTTCCTTCCAGTCTTGCTACTTTTCTAACAAGTTTCACCAGCCTTCTGGTTTGGAGCAAACTGCACACAGTCCCTCTGGGTCCCTAGGAAAACACTCTATTATTTAAAGTTCTGTTTGTATGTCTGTTGCCTGTTCTTCTCTGAAATCTAGACCCTGCGCCCCACACAAGTCTCGGCTGTCACATCTTTTTTATTTTCTTTAATTGTCATCTCCTGCACAGGCCCTCAACAGAAAGGAACAATCTTCCCTATCCCACAAAGGTTACACCTAACATAGGTACTGACATGTCCTCCATCACAAGGTTGAAGGAGAAGCAACAGGTAATTAATCTATTTTGCATAGTTTCATCAACTAAATTAAGTGAAATATGACTTTTTGTTGCACTCTGAAGGACAAAAACAACACAAGACTATTTTTCAGACTGTCTGTTTTTTAAATTACGGTTACTTATCTGATGCATCCTACTGTTCACTGCCTGCTAACTTCTTTGTTTATATGACATATTATTGTATTTAAAAAGGTATTTCACAGGCATAACAATGTTATTTCAGTACACACAATCTCATCAGATGACAAGTCACTGGTAGCACCATATCAGTCAGTAGGAACTGAATTGCTCCAAAGGAGCACTGACACAGTGGGTTTACATTAAAGGTTTCTAATGGTCAGAGAACATCAGTCAGCAAAAAGCTGGAGCAGCACAAACCTGGTTAGAAAACACAGGTAGTGAATCATGATCAGGATGCTGGAATCAAATCAATTCACTAAATCAACAGAAAGAATACTCTTACTGAACAATTATTTCCAGAACAGCTGCATGTGTTATATGAGTCAGCAGGTATAAAAATTTAACAGGACTGAAAGGTCTTTGCTTTAAAACCAAGTGTTTCCAATGTGGAGGAAAAGCAACAAAACAAAAAAAAAAGGTGCAGCTGAGTAAGGAATGGAAGATGCACTCTGACTGAGGGCTGATACTGACATTTTAGTGTCAGAGGCAGCAGGCATCTACATGAAAGGGAAGTTAAAAAATAAACCCAGTCACATTATGAAGTTTCTGTCCTAAATAATAGTTGCTTGAATAACAACAGGAGGCACTGGCAGCCTTAAGAAAAAACAAAGACTTAGATAAAACAATACATAGTTTTAAAAGCCATTTATCCGTTTTTGCCTTACAACCTCAAACTGGATTAGTAAAGGGTTAAAAAAAATGCTAAAGAACATCAAGGGTAGGACTCGCGTCAGAAGCATTCCAGATGATTCAGTTTTTTCCTGATCATCAGAGAGGACTGCTTTCCCCCACCCCCAACCTCTGCCCTATTTACACAACTTGAAGAGTCCAATAAGTGTTCAGAAGTGGGCTTCCGAGCGATCTGATGCTCTGAGACCAAGCTGAGAGACATAAAATTTGGATCCAGGTCTTGGTCCTGGATCCAAAAAGCCTAGCTTTCCTTAGGGTGCCTCAACCAGGGATGACATAAAAGTGCCAACAGTAGAAGAAAGGGGCAGGGGATGAGAACTGAGTGTCCAGTGCCAAGGCTTTCTGTGGTAGGTTCACTAGACTCCAAATCCCAGGCTAGAAAGAAGTTGAAAAGGAGGCAGCAATCAAGAGTATTCTCTACGTAAGAACGCTACTGCAAATTCCACAGAGAGTGCATTCTCACCTTGGCACACTGCTCTTTGGGCATCACATCTTTAGTGAACACAGGGGGAAAACTGTTTGCTATTAAATCTAGCTTCTGAGGGAGAGAAATGTTGTAGGTGACCTCATTGCTTGCCAACGTGACACCCATCTACAAGAAATTCCGGAAGGAGGATCCTAGGAACTACAGGCCTGTCAGCCTGACCTCCATACCAGGGAAGATCACGGAGTGGTTCGTCTTGAGAGAGCTCACAGGGCATATGAAGGACAACCAAGGGATCAGACCCAGGCAGCATGGGTTCATGAAAGGCAGGTCCTGCTTGACCAACCTGATCTCCTTCTATGACCAGGTGACCTGCCCAGTGGATGAGGGAAAGGCTGTGGATGTTGTCTGCCCGGACTTCAGCAAGGCCTTTGACACCATCTCCCACAGCATTC